TTCAGGAGGCAAAGGTGAGAGGAGTGCTTGAGCCCAGGGGTGTGAGACCAGCCTGGGAAACTTGGTGAGATCTCATCACTACAATAAATCAAAAAATTAACTGGGTGTGGTGATGCATGCCTGTGATTCTAGCTACTTGGAAGGCTGCAGTGAAAGGATCTCCTGAGCCTAGGAGGTTGAGGCTGCGATAATCTGTGATCTCGTCACTGCTCTCCAGCCTGGGCGACAGAAAAAAAAAAAAAAATCAAATACACTTATCTAATACCTACCTTCTAGGGACATACCTGGGTCTCTCTCCTTATTTAGGCATATAGAGTCTATTTCTCTCAAATGCAAAATACTACCTATGATTTATGATACTGTTTGTTTTCTAAGTAAATGTTAACCAAAGAGCTATTCACTAGTTTTTAAGATGCCACTTAAATGGGGTTTTCAGTCAAAAGGCAGGTTAATTGGTTTAAAGAAAATAGTGTTTTCTTTTTTTTTTTCAAGTTAGAGTCTCACTTTGTTGCCCAGGCTGAAGTGCAGTGGCACACTCACGGTCACCCCATTGTCAACCTGCTGGGCTCCGGCGATCCTTCCGCCTCAGTCTTCCAAGTAGCTGGAACTACAGGCGCACACTACCACACCCAGCTAATTTTTGATTTATTGTAGAGACGCGGTCTCACCAAGTTGCCCAGGCAGGTCTCAAACCCGCGGCTCAGGCAATCCACTCACCTCGGTCTTTCAAAGTGCTGGGATTAAAGACTGAGCAACCGAGCCTGGCCAAATAGTGTTTTCTTAAGGAACAATAAGACATTTCAGATGTGGTCCATCACCTTTTTTATTTTATTTTAAATTTTGGTAAAAGATCCATCATCTTTTATATGAAATTTGTGGAAGTAAAAAAAATTCAAAGATATAAGAACAAAAATAGAACTCAAATTTTAACATTGAATGCTAATGCTTAGTACATTAAATGTTATGTCATGTAGAAAAAATATTGAGTTTTAGGTAAACGAGTAACTAAATTGGTTTTCTGAATGCCAAATAGTCTCTCAGAAGATTGTTCTTTGGACAAAGTGGTAGGATTAGAGTGACTACAACAGCTTAATGGTAGATTTGATCATTACAGATTTTTTAAAAATATGAGCAGTCTCATTTAAGCTCTTAAAAATCTTACCTTAGTTTTTTCATCCACAACTCTGAGTCCATCTGCTGAGACCCACAGAACTGCCTTAACGGCCTTCTTTCCAGTCTTTTAAGAGAAACCAAAATGAGGGAGGGGGAGACATACATATATGATATTAAAAAGTCATCTTCCACAGAAAACACTGACTTCTGCCTTCCAAAGTCACAAGTACAGAAGGAGTCCTAATTCAGGAGGGGTGCCCAAAGCCAGATATCCAAACCAAACTGCAAAAATATCCAGGAAAAAACACGCCAAACCATTATTTTAGAAACACAATGCAAAACAATAAGATAAAATTAAGGGAAAGGAAGAGATGGAATCAAAACCAAGATATCACATTCCATAAAGAGCAAAGAATTCATAGTGGATTCTTCACCCATTTAAAAATCAACCAAGAGCCAGAAAAATATTAAACACTTAAGGAGTTACACCACAAGTAGCTTCTACAAGTATGTTTAGAGTAGAGAGTAACAGAGGTCTAAGGTGAGGTGCTGACCATTCCCATAGCCTCCAACCCCAATGTGTCACAGCAAGGACCCTTGGTCACCTAACATTTTCATGTTAAAAACACAGTAAGTCTTCATTATTCTATTAATAACATTTAAAAAGCCATTATTTGTCCTCTCAGGATTAACAGAGAACCGGTTTTTATGTTGTTTTTATTTATTTGTTATTTATTTATTTTAGAGATGAGGGTTGTTATGTTGCCCAAGCTGGAGGCCAGTGATTATTCACAGCTCACTGCAGCCTTGAACTCCTGGGATCAAGTGATCTTTCTACCTCAGCCTCCCGAATAACTGGGATTACAGGCATGCACCACCGTGCCTGGCCTTGGTTTGATTTTTAATTTGACGTTAAATGCATGAAGACATTTTGGGGGCAAAGGAGGATTTTTAAAAACACCTACTGAAAAACGAACTTTCTTTTTACTGGGTGAGTAAAGACTTCTTTCGTGACACAAGAACAAGGTGATGTATGATCTCTCCTGTGCCCATATGTAACAATTCAACAATTTAAGAACAAGTTGATTTATGATCTCTCCTGTGACCATATGTAATATAAGTAATTTAACGATATCCTTTCTTTTTAACAACTCCAAGGATACAGCAAGATAAAACAAAAGTAGAATGAAGGTTGAGAACAGTTATCAGATTATCACAGAAAGTATACCTCAAAAGGAATCTGGCGCTAAGGCTAGAGCAGCAGTTCTAGAAGGAACAAGGGAGAGCAACTGAGCTGAATCTCAGAGTCTCCTCTGCATGTGTCCCAGCCTAGGAAGTCTTCATCTGGGGGTCTGGCCTTAATTGAACGGCTATGATCCATTCAGCCTCCACTGTCTCTGCCACCAACGCACATCTGATGAGTGCCTGTAATAATGCCAGCTAGTGGAAATACCTGAAGAGTACTGAAAGGTGACACTCCAATAAAAAATAAAGATCACAGTAGTAAGTGCTAGAGTAGAGCTGAGAACAAGGTGCAACAATGCCAGAAAGTACGTATGACCAAGTCTCTTTGTGGAACTGGGGAAGGTCATAAAAGAAGACTGAACGGGGTCCTGAAGTAATTGTTCTTGATGCCCTAGGTGGGGGTAGGGAGGCAGGGAAGTAACAGAAGTGGTGGATGTGCCAGGTATAAAACAAAGGACATGGAAACTACTCGGCACATCTGGGGCTCCACAGCTATCTCAATATGGCTTGGTAAGCAGCTAGGGGAGAGGAGCAGTGAGATAACAGAGCAGGGAAGGCCTTGTGTGCCTGATGCTGAACAAGTTAGTTCTTTGTTCTTAGTTCTCTGGGCACTTAGAAGCTACTGAAGGCATTTAAACACAAACAGACTTACTTTTTTTTTTTTTTTTGAGTTGGAGTCTCACTCTGTAGCCCAGACTGGAGTGCAGTGGCCACTCCTGGCCACCGCAGCCTCAACCTGCTGGCCACTGGCGATCCTTCCACCTCAGCCTTCCAAGTAGCTGGAACCACAGGTGCACGCTAACCACACCCGGCTAATTTTTTTATTTATTGTAGAGATGAGGTCTCGCCAAGTTGCCCAGGTGGGTCTCGAACCCGTGGGCTCAGGCAATCCACTCACCTCAGCCTCCCAAAGCGCGGGATTACAGGCTGAGCCACCGAGCCCAGCTCAGACTTACATTTCAAAATATCACTTTAGGCCAGGCTCAGTGGCTCAGACTGTAATCCTACCATTTTGGGAAGCTGAGGCAAGTGGATTGCCTGAGCCTGCGGGTTCAAGACCAACCCGGGTAGCTTGGCAAGACCTCATCTCTACTATAAAATTAAAATAGCCGGGCGTGGTAGCGCAAGTCTGTAGTTCTGGGCTACTCAGAAGGCTGAGGCGGAAGGATCGCTGGAGCCCAGAAGGTTGACGCTGGGGTGGCTATGAGTGTGCGTGCCACTGCACCCCAGTCTGGGTGAAGGAGTGAGACTCCAACTCAAGAAAACCCCAACAACAACAACAACAAAGCCCACATCACTTTGGCAGCAGTTTAGAGGGGTTAGAAAGAGACTGACAGGAAGCAGAATGACTACTAGAATCCCCGTGTGGTAAGACAAGGGCTGAGTGAAATCTCTGGGTGGAGACAGGTACGGAGATGATGTTTTAATGTAATGGTAAATATAAGGGAGGGGACAGAGATGAGGTTTTAATGGTAAATATAAGGGAGGGGTGGAGGATTCCTCTGTGGTCTCCAGCTTGGGTGGAGAGGGTACCACCAACTAAGAAAACAGAAGCCAGGTGCGATGGCTCATGCCTATAATCCCAGCATTTTGGGAGGGAGAGGCGAGAGGACTGCCTGAGCTCAGGGGTTCAAGATCAGCCTGGGCAACATGGTGAGACTTCATTTCTACAATAAAAAGGAATCCCGCCAGGCATGGTCCGCACATGCCTGGGGTTCCAGCTACTTGGAAGGCTGAGGTGGAAGGATCCCCTGAGCACAGCAGGTTGAGGCTGTGGTGGCTATGAGCATGCCACTACACTCCAGCCAGAGCGACAGAGTGAGACTTCAATTCAAAAAAATAAAATAAAATAGAAGAGATGCAGAAGCAAGTTTGAAAGGGGAAGAATAGGCTTTTAATTTTGCACAAGCAAAATTTGAGATGCCCATACCACATCCGGGTGGAGACATCCAATAGGTAATTTAATTTATAGATCTGAAGCTCAGCAGAGAATTCTATGATGGAATTTTAGAATTGGGAGATGTCAATGATTGAAGTAATAAGAGAGTCAAGGACACTAGAGAACCCCATAGTTAATTAGAGCCAGGCATGGGTGGCTCACGCCTGTAATTCCAGCACTTTGGGAGACTGAGCTGGGAGGATAGCTTGAGCCTAGGAGTTCAAGGCCAACTGAGCAACATAGCAAAACCTCATCTCTACAAAAAAATAAAAATAACTAGCTGGGCATGGTGGCACACACCGGCAGTCCAAGCTACTCAGGAGGCTGAGGCAGAATAATTGCCTAAGCCCAGGAGGTCAAGGCTAAGGTGGGGAGAGATTGTGCCACTGCACTCCAGCCTACTTCACAGAGTGAGACCTAGCTCAAATAAATAAATAAAATTAAGAATTGGGAGAAGATGACTAATTCCTTGAAATATCAGACAGTAATAGCCAGAGGGACAGGAAAATAAACACAGATGAGCCTAAGTGAGAAGGGTTTCCAAAAGTAATGAATAGTCCAAAATGTCAAATGTTACACAGTGATCAAGAAAGCAAAGATATACAAAATGTTCACTAGATTAAACAATGACGATATGGTCAAGTATGAGGTTGTGTTGGTTCATTTTATATGCCAGCTTGGCTAGGCCACAGTTACCACAGCGTGTGTTTGGTCAGACACTAGCCAAAATGTTGCTATGAAAGTATTCTGTAGAAGTAATTAACATTTACAAACAATTGACTTTAGGTAAAAATAAGCAGCCTTGAGAATAGGGTTGGCCTTCATCAAATCAGCTGAAGGCCTCAAGCGCAAAACTTAAGGTTTCCAGATGAAATTCTGCTGTAAGTCTATAACACAAAGACCCTGCCTTAGTTTCCAGCCTGTTAGCCTGCCCTACAGATTTCAGACTTGCCAGCCAGCCCCCAGAACTGCCAGAGTCAATTCTTAAAATAATCCTCTTTCTCCTATATCTCCTAGTGCAGGGGTCCCCAACCCTTGAACCCGCGCGCTCAGGCAATCCACTCACCTCAGCCTCCCAAAGGCGCGGGATTACAGGCTGAGCCACCGAGCCCGGCTAATAGTAAAGCTTCTTAAGAGTGGTATACACTTTTAACAACAGATCACGTTTATATGCTGAATGGGAAAAGCAGGAGGAATGATGGAGACTGAAAGCCCAAGAAAAAGAGAAGACTAAGTAATTTAGAGAACAAAGTCCTACAGGAGGCAAAAGACAAGTTTTAGACAGGAGGAATATCCCTTCCTCTGAAACAGAGGGATGGAGTGAGGCTGCGTAGGATGAAGACAGATTTGTAGAGGGAATAAATGGCATGCTGAGGAAATTCACTCCGGAGAACCACAAACTTATAAGCGAAGAGACTACCTGCTTTACTTTGCCGGGGAAAAGGAAGACAGGCGGATAAAACAGTCAAGATTCAGAGCAGCAGTATGGGGGCAGTACAGTGTAGTGACGAAGAACCAGGCTATTGTGTGGGTTTGAATTCTGGTTCTACAATGTGCTAAGTATGACCAAGGGCAAGCCAACAACTTCTCTACGCTTCAGTTTCCTACCTGTTATAAGGATGGTGATAATCTCACATACCTCAGAGGATTAAAAAAATTAATGTACATAAAAGGTTTAGAACTAGGGTGGTCTCATAATTTACTGTACCAACTGGGACCCCTTTAAAAGTGTAAGGGGCACTATTACAACCCAGAGGCAGGTATTACACTGTGGCTGTCCCGGGCAAGCTGGGCAACGGTTGCCCAGCAACTAGAAGGAAGCCAACATGACATTTCATGCCTTGACTGAAAGTGATCATGACATTTCATGATCAACGCCAACATGACATTTCATGCCTTGCTGAAAGTGAGCTCCATGAGGGCAGAGCTTTCCATCTATA